CCTTTTCCCGACGCATTGTTGAGAAAACATCAATGAATTTTAACAATACCTATGAAAATGACACTAGTTATTTTATGGTACACTTTTTTATATCCGCATTGAAAGATTAGTTCAGCTCATATTATCAGAGGATTCACCATCTAATTCAATCGATTTCTGACATAATTGCGTTTTTCTTTATATAAGTTTAAAGAAGTATGATAGCTGTTTTTAATTCAATATGTTCTATATGAAAACAAAAACGATTTATTCTCGAAAAATTTTTTCTTCATTGAAAATAAACTACAAAAAAAAACTTTCTTTATACTTCATCTTCTATCTATTGGAGAGTATTGGCAGCACATTCTTCAACTTAATTTTTGCGACTTTTTTTCTATATAGAGAAAATTCAAATGCTTCCATTGCGACATCTATTAGAGCTACCACTTCGCTCAGTTTCGATTGCATGCACGGTAATCAATAGCGAAATATGAATATATTTGCATATGTGTCTTATTCTTTTTCATATTTCATTATATTTTTTAATATCATATGAGTAATCGTTTAGTAATGATGAAGAAATTCTGGACACGTACAAAGATGTACACGTGCGAATTTTTCTATCTGAATATAACATAAAAGAAAAACAGACTTCACTTCATCATTTTGATTTTAGCATAAAACATGGCGACTATCACATTTGCTGTAGCTAATGTCGATGCATGTGCTACAAGACATACTGAAACTCAACAACTATCGGAAGTTGATTTAGCTCGATGGGCATTAAAAGATGAAAAATTATCACTCGAAAATTTTCAAACTAATTATCCTTTAGCTGTTGAACTTAATGGTGGTAATTATCGAATTAAAAATGCTTTTGTCGGTGCTATTTATGAAGCTTATTGTAATCATTATCCACTTGAATTAAGTGTTGAAGACATTTGGGTTGTTATTGCACAAGGTGTTGGAATTCATCTCAATCAAAATGCTGAAAAATATCGTCATTTAATGGTGTCACATGAAGGACAAAAAGAATTAATATTGAATGTTGACAGTCTTAGAATACCAGACTCTGATCGACCAGAGTATGGTAATAAATCCGTACCTGCTATTGATTGGTCAAGAACTGTTCGACTGATGTGTGGATTGGTTAAAGATGATATGAAAACAGATATGGCTACAATTTTGACAACTCCTTTTTCGGGTACAACACCAGTTGAACAAGCTGTATTTGATTGTACATTAATGGATACTGTCAAAGCTTATTATAAATACCGATGCTGTTTATTGTGTGGTATTCCTGAAGTAACATTACGTGGTTCACCAGATGATTTTCAACAAGTGATTGATCGTATCCATCAACTTCGAACAATTTTTACTGATTTTCATTGGTGGTTAGATTCACTTTTACCTCATTTAAAACAATTGAAAGCAAGTGCTGAAGGAAAGCCAGATATCGATTGGTGGCAAAAAATATGTCATGAAGAAGGAGGTGGATCTGGTCCATCTTATTTAGCTGGTTGGCTTGCTGATTTTATTCCGTAAGCTTATTCAAATATAAATGTTTGTATATTTCTGTCATTGTTTTTTCTAGATATATATGTGATGGAGCAGGTCATTATAAAAAAGTTCGACGTGATGATCATCGTCATTATTCTAAAGTATGTCTTTTCTTTTATTAAGTTTTTGATGAAAAAAAAACTAGTTATTTTTGATTAAATTTAGAATTCAATGACTCGTATTGAATTTGGTGATTTTAGTGAAAGTGTAACTCGAACAGATTTCATTCTGGATGATAATGGACATGAGACAAAAATGAAATTCATTGCTGGATTCTTAGGTATTGGTCAGAATCCAAAGACAGGTGCACTTCGTCCAAGTCTCGGTTGGGCAACAGCATTGCCGATTTGATTATTTTTTTTCGACCAATAGCTATCAATCAAAAAGAAAAATTTAACATTTTTTTGTCAATCATTGAGCATTACAATTTAAATATATCTAATATATTTAATCCATTTAATAATCATTATCCATAAGTTTTTTTCATTAAATATCATAAACTACAATGCAGAAATTAAATAAAATAAATTATTCAATGTAAACTGATATCAAAGGTTGTTTCGAACTATAGTTTTTATTTTGAATATAATGTCATAGTAGTTAAATGTGTTACACAAAAAGAAAGTTCGTAATTTCACATGTCAAAAAGAAACAAGTTTGTTTGCTTTATATTTTACCAACGACAAGTGTGCAAGTGTCATCGAAATATATCAATTGATTCAATAAGACAAGTCATCTCAATCAATTCACATATAGATTTACGTATTCGCTTTTAATATTCCCTGTAAGATAACGGAAGAATACACAAAGATCTGTCTAGATTTTTTCATGAGTGTTTATATTTCATTAAAATGTATCATTAATTGTCCAAATTTCGATTTTTGGAACTACATCAATTTCTTTAAAAAAGCGATAGTTTTAATTGTACCATCATAAAGAACATAACAATAAGATTGAAGTCAGAATTTCTTTATCGAAAGAGATTTTTTTTGAATATTGAAATTGAAAAGAGTTTATCGAAAAAATATAATGTGTTCACGCAGGATCAAACTACCCTAGTGGAATATCTGGTAGGCAAGATCTTGACCAAGATCCAAGGTACAGAAAAGTGAACACATCTTGACAATTTAGATCTAAGATAATCAAATTATCTTCTACCAAGATCTGTGATTAGAGGGTGTAGGTGTGGATGTGTTCTTTATGCAATGAACAAGATAAATAAAAAGCATCGAAAAAGCAAGCCACAAGTAAACTGTAGAGTGTGGATGGGTGTGGGTGTGAGTGTGGGTGTGTGGAGTGGGTGTGTGGAGTGGGTGTGGGTGTTGGAATGGGTGTGGATCTTCTCTTCATCTACACCCACACCCAAAAAACCAAGACTTACATAATTGAGAATAACACTAGACAAAAATGCTACAAAAATTGTACCCATAGCTAAAAGCCAAGCATGCCAAGCTAGCATCGTAGAACATGGCTCAAAGAATCTCATCAGAAATGTAAGTAAAAGTGGTTGACTAATTTTGAGAAGTTCCTATCAGATATGAATTGCGACATGTATATAATCAATTCGAATATTAGACTTACGGAAGGAATAAAAATAAGATTATTGACTAATGGTTTCCATCTCATAGTGCGTAATGTAGCTCGAATCAAACTCGGTCTGTTAGGATTTCGTTTAGTTTCAACAAACCAGTTCGCTTCGAGTTTATCTATTAGTGTTGCTGCTTCGCAATCTGGCAGTGGTTCATAGAGATCGTTAACATCAAGGGTACCTTGTTTACGACATTTTGAAACCAACGGGGATACCCATCTACGAATAGATTACGTTTTACAATCGTTCGGACAAACAAGAAAGTTATTTACTCTAGAAATAGACGTGAGCATTTGCTAGCTTTCAGTAACGGACTCGGATTCGGTGATCTTGTTGGCATCTGAAATTAAATATGTTTTCTTTGCATCATCAATTCTGTGACCTTGCTTTCTTTTTTCTCGTTCTTGTTTCTCTCTTATCAGCTTGAAAAAAAAATCACGTATACTTATTATCACTAGTGCTTGCCATTACTAAACACCTACATGTTATTACTAAATAACTTGCACAAGTTTTCGATCGATGATGAAATGTTTCGCAAGTACTTTAGCACTTGCCCTAAATAATTTGACTCAATCTAATTTAGGTAATACAATGAGTAGATATAATGTAAGACTCCTTTCGATATTAATAAGGCAAAAAAGATTTCTTTCAAAAGACGCTATTCGATAAGTTGAGGGTATGGGTGGGTGTGGGTGTGGAGGTGTGGGTGTGGGTATATACTTTCTCGATAGCCACACCCATACCACATCCACACCCAAAAATATCAAAATTTCATCGATTATTTTAATTATTTTTTATTAAAAACAAGTAACGCTCGTCTGTGTGACTCGCTTAACCCTCGACTGAATATTTCACTGCATCGGCAGTTGTTTATTACTGCAGACATTTTGCAAAAGGTAGCATCGGGCATTTGCACATGGCTTTGTGCTAGTGTCAACATTAGTGTATACATGTGTCGGCGTGTATAATGCTATTGGTACCGTTGTAATACTGCTAGCTATAACATTCGTTCATTTAATCTGTTACTCTATCAATAACACTCAAAAGAAATCTACGTGACCCACACTGACACAGCAATATCCTCAAACCACGAAAAAATAGTATATTCGATTTTCAGAGAAAATCAGCAGACAAAAAATATCAGCGTGACTGCAGTAAAGATGCACTACACTTCACGCAAACTGTATTAATAATGCGCATACTCATAAACACATAGGCGGGAAATATCGCTGACCGGTACCCACTACGAAAATGCATGTTTAGCGTAGCTATCAGACTAAAAAGCTATATTTGTTCAAACTAATATCCGGCATACGCAAGTTGAATCAGGCTTCAACTCTGAGTCTTTGTGAGATTAAATAACGAATTTTAAATAGCCGGAAAAAAAATTTGACAAGTCAATGGGCAGATGACGTATCTATGAAGATAAAGGATTATTAAATTCCATTCAAGTCCACTTTTGATGATTCGATGCAAATTGTATTATTGACGCTTTTCAGGAAATGTTCGATTCCGATATTGAAGATCTCCAACACACTCGTTCTCACACTTCATTCAAATACACTTGTTAACCCTCTTGCCAGTTCTTCCTCCCATGAATCCTAGTAAGATCTAAGTGCTACAGATCCTTCCAATGGATTAGAAGTTTAAAAGAATTCTATTCAAAGGATTTTTTAGGGCAGCAGCTAGTCACTCGTCAGCATCCGAGTGGGTCGTCACGCGCAACTAATTGCTGTTATGCATCGTTCTCTTCCAGTAATTATATAATCGTGCACTGTTATTTAAATTTTACTGGATTCTAGATTTGGATTAGTTTCAAAGCTGCCTATATTTATCGCATGAGAAATCCCAAAGTGAAAATACTTGTGAACTATTCCTTATGCGTTTCGATCCTTTACCTAGCTAGTCAATCTAAGATTTCATGGAGCTCGCCATCGAAAGAAGTTTAAGTATATGATTTCACACAAAAAACTAGCTTAATAGACCATATCTCATACCAAAAAAATTGTGAAATAGAAATAGAAGCTACTATATTTCACTGTCGGAGTTTCGACGTGGCGCTATTCACACTTAGCTACTACTATCTTTGAACACATATTCTCAAATGACTACTTTCTTATTCAAGGCATGACTAATCCACACTTCGACTGCTTCAAAAGCTTCTCTACTCGTAACTAAAGGGTACTAGATTTCCTATATCCAGCAAGATATCTATTAAATATATACGTGTCGTCTCTCGAGTTTCTCCATGTTTATAGGAGTCCTTCTCTACATAAAATGTCACATGTTAAGTCTCTGTGGCACTTTTTTAAGGACCTTGCTTGATGTTATGCAGAAATGTCGTAAAACAGATTTGAATAAACCTAGTTTAGAGGCAGCTATTCGTTCGCCGTCCTTCCGAAGGAACGCCATTCACGGCTATCCGCTACTTCCAGCTACTTTCACTCACGAAAGGTTGATACCATTTTCAAAATCGAGCCATCGTTCCTATTTTAAAAACTGATGGAAAGTTTGATCCTTTACAAAAAAATTCATCCACATTAGAAATTTTCTTTGGAAGCTTATCAGTATTCAGAAAGAGGACACGTTAGTATAGATTTACCGATAATCTGAAATATTCTGAATAAGTGGACACAGCCGTTGTATCCTGTCAATCTAAATAATTTTTTTGCGTAACTCGCTCTCATTCCTCAATCTTTGTTCTACAAGCACTCTAATTTCATCTTATCTTCGTATTTCTTGGTTCATTACACTACTGTCACGTATTACAAAGTACTTGCTGTTTCTCAACATCATTTCTCATAGAACGAATAGATTCGAGATCTGAATTTTGGAATCCTGATTCCAGATTCGGATTTCTCACCCTCGATAACCTCTAACAAAGTTCGATCAAAACGGCCAAAAGCCGTAAAATAAAAAAGTTCCTTTTTTGATTGACCGGTTTCCGACCAATGAAACTTCGGCCAAAGAAATGGCTTTGGATTCGGATTCAGGGCCATCGATAACCTATAGCAAAGTTCACTCAAAACGACCAAAAGTTTTAAAATGAAAAAGCTCATTTCTGATTGACCGATTTCTGACCAATGAAATCTCGGCCAAAAAAATGGGCTTCGGATTCGGATTCAAGGCCCTCGATAACCTATAGCAAAGTTCGATCAAAACGGCGAAAAGTCTTAAAATAAGAAAGTTCTTTTCTGATTGGTTAGTTTTCGACCAATGAAATCTCGGCCAAAAAAGTGGCCTTCGGATTCAAATTCAGCGCTCTCGATAACCTATAGCAGAGTTCGATCAAAACGGCCAAAAGTCTCAAAATAAAAAAAAGTTCGTTTCTGATTGGCCGGTTCCTGACCAATGAAATCTCGGCCAAAAAAATGGGCTTCGAATTCAGATTCAGGGCCCTCGATAACCTATAGCAAAGTTCGATCAAAACGGCGAAAAGTCTTAAAATAAGAAAGTTCGTTTCTGATTGGTCGGTTTTCAACTAATGAGACCTCGGCAACCGAAATTGGCAATGGATTCAGATTCAGGGCGCTCGATAACCTATGGCAAATTTCACTCAAAACGACCAAAAGTCTTAAAATAAGAAAGTTCGTTTTTGATTGGTCAGTTCCTGACCAATAAAACCTCGGCCACCGAAATGGGCAATGGATTCGGATTCAGGGCCCTCGATAACCTATGGTAAAGTTCACTCAAAACGACCAAAAGTCTTAAAATAAGCTAACCTCTCTGGTATGTTCTTTTGACCCTGCCACAAACACACAAACACACAAACTATTTTTTTTCATATGACCCTCCCTACAGTCGAGGGAATAATTTAAAATCGTGGTAAAAATAATTCTTAATCAATTTCGTGTGATTAGAAGCAGTAGAATTTGTATGCAGTTTTTTATTTTTTATATTGACTATAATCGATTTTCTTGATGATAATTAAAATCGAGGATATGAGTGTGGTGAATGAAGAGAAGATTCACATCCACACTCTTTTTGGAAGGTGTTTTTTTTCGTTGTATTTGATGATTATTTTTTACTAGAAACCACTAGGGAACTATTCACATTGAGTTTGGATCTAGGTGTAGGTATGGGTGCTGCTGTAAATCTTCTCTTCACCGACCGAATCTACATCCACACTGTCGGTTTCAATTATCATCAAGAAAATTGATTATAGTCAATTCATAGCATAAAAAATTAGATCGAAATTCCACTGCTTTTTAATCACATGATATTGATTAAAAACTATTTTTGTCACGATTTTAAATGAATTTTAATAAAGAAATAATCAGAATAATTGATGAAATGTTGATATTTTGGATTATTTTTTAGATTATAATCGATTAAGAATCGGTTTCTTAGTGATTTTTATACATTCGTAACTGTTATAATCGCTAACAGTTGATTTAAAAATCTATCTATGAGATTTTTGGTGATTGGGATTTCAATCTACTGACGATATTAAAATTGATTTTTGGTAAAAATCATATTACAAGTGGAATAATCAACATTAATCGAAGCTCTAGATTGTTTTTTAATTGATTTACGAATGTTAATCGATTTTAATTGGATGATTGGGAAAAAGCAAATATTTCGTACAAGAAATGAGATTTTTACACTGGTAATAAAAAAAAATAAACATGGTTTCATAGGCATATTTCTCACTGGGACCTATTCTTCATTGAAACCTTATTATTTTTCCACTCCTATACGACAAGTGAAAAACAAAAATCAACAAATTGATTTAATTAATGTACATTGCAACGAAAATATGAATATCTGTTAAATTATCTAAAGGTGTTCGAGCTACTCACGATAGAGCGAGCGAAAGAAAGTTAATTTTTACACTAATCAAATACAGTATCTTGTTTTGCTCACGTGTACACTTTAATTACATTTTTGGATGAATGCGCCAAGAGCAATCACATTACATAAAGTTAGATGAAAGCAAAATATTGCTTTAGTATAACATAGAGAAAAATGTTAATCATCACCTTGTTATTCTGTTAATGGCCTTACGATTTTTCACATGAATACAACAAGCAAATATACTTCTTTTGAAAATATAGTCACATGACAAGAATTTAGTGGTCATGAATATCGAGCAGATTTTCCTGTTTTCAAGTAGTATCACTCAATTTTCATGTTATTAGGTTGGTATCATACTTACTGTTTTCATGGAGACAAAAACTTTCAAAATTCTTCATGAAATGAACACCACTAATAAGCTACAGTAAAGCTATCCTTCTAACAAAATGTCTGTAGTATACATAGATATTCAATTGGGTTTTTTTTAGTGTCACTGTTGAAGTATATCTGTTTAGGACTATACTGTTCTTTAATTTGAAAAGATTTGTTATTATTGTTGGGTCAAAGCAAACAAATTACAAGCACACTAGCAATTTTATTTTTTTATGATTTGAAAATACTCTACTCACTCACAGATCGTCAGGGCTGGACGAGTCAAGTGATTTCTCCAGTCGAGTCGAATCTGAGTCAAATTATTTTTGTCGTTTTTTTTTCGTTTTATGCTTTTCTTTATAACGAGCATCAACCACAGGTTTATCATTACACGATATGTAGTTTCTAGTGGATATACACAAGAACAAAACGAGGAAGTTGTACGTAAAATAAACTGCTGAAACTACTCTAAATTAATCTAAAAAATAATAGGAGTAAAATCAACTCTTCTTTTTGATAAAATTCCGCATTACAATAAAAAAAAATATATCACTTTTTTTTTATAAACAGAAGCCTAAGTAAAGGTTCTTTTACAAGCAAAATTTATTTATTATCATTAAATTGATGTCTTATTCTTAATTAAAAATGCTAATATATACAGGGTGGCCCAAAAGTAACGCACCCGAGAAAAAAATTGAATATCTCCGTTACAGTTCAAGCAAATGGGCTGATTTTTTTACCAATAATAGAGGCATGTTCAAACTTTATATCCATAAAGACATGCCCGGTGAGACCCTTTGTTAAGTATCATTGTTGACCTCAACAAAAAAATTTTACTTTTTCACAGATATGAAAAACCAATGGACGATGAAGAAGAGCCGGTTTATCAAGATAATACATAGATACTCACTCATATTTCTTTTTTTCTTATCAGATACATGTCATAAATCTTTATTAACATCGAAGGAAGACCACTAGCGTGCAACAATCAATATATTTGTGTATATTTTGTGAAAATAAATGAACAATACTTTAACATAATTGTTCAAATCGTTTGACTTTTGTGTTTATACTCATTTGACAACGATCACCTGCAGAACGACAGAATTGCTTGACACAATTCGATATTATTATTGAATGATGTTGTAAATGCTTGATTAATCAGGAACATAAATAAGAAGCGAAAAGATATATGAGTGAACAATATGTGCTAATCAAAAAAACATTTGACTATTTGCAATTTATCAAGATAAATTCGCTCCCCTTCATCGTACATTGATTTTTCATATCTGTGAAAAAGTAAAATTTTTTGTGTTGAGGTCAATAATGATACTTAACAAAGGATCTCACCGGGCATGTCTTTATTCCCTCTACTGAAAGGATGGTAATGCGCTGAGCAGCTCCCACGACTAGAGATCAGCGGGGTCAAACTTTTTAGCCCCGAAACCCGCCCCGAAACCCGAAAATATTTTTTATTTCTCCCCGGTCCCGACCCCGACCCCGAGAAATTTTTTTCGGGGTCCCCGACTCCGACCCCGAAGAGCCCCGACTTTTTCTCACAAATAGCTGACATCTAATATGCGTGGCATTATGTTGACGAAGAAATTTAGACAAGTTTTGATTGCTAGCTAGTCTAACGGAATCAATTGTGAAAAAAAAACAAGGTATCCTCTGCTGTCCTTTCTCTCGTTTCCTTCTCTTCGTTTGTGTATAAAACGAAAAGATGATTTTAACGTTGTTAACACGAAAAGAACTCGCGGATGCTTATAAAGAAAACGAGATGATTCTGTTAAATATGTGGATGCGGGTGATGGTAGGTAAGGGTGTGGGCGTGCGTGGAGTATGGGTACGGGCGTCGGTGTGGTGTGTGGACAGTCTTCTGTACAACCACACGTACACCCAGTCGACTCACAGCATCCACAATCACATCCATCCATATCCTCTTTTTCTGAGTTTCTGTTGTCTTTTTTAGTGAATCTTTGAATTCTGACGATCAGATACCTTTGTCTTTCTTTTCCGTCTGTTTACTCTTTAATTAACTGTGAAAATAAATAAATTTGTGTTACAGAAAAACAAAAAATATTTTTCGGGGAGTATCCTAAAATATTCGGGACCCCCGACCCCGACCCCGAAAATTTTTTTCAGCCCCGGTCCCCGCCCCGACCCCGCCGGGGTCGGGGCGGGGACCGGAGTTAGGGGTTCCCCGCTGATCTCTACCCACGACCAAATGTTCGTTCGTTCGTTAGTTCGCATTACAGAACGAAAGAAAAAAAAATATATGTATACATACATATGTATATAAGCGTATGATTGCAGAATGAAAGAAAAATAATATATGTTTACATATATGTATACAAGCATATAGTTACAGAACGCAAGAAAAAAAAGCACATAGAACGAAAGAAGTGTGTAGAGTAAGCTGGAGTGAATGTAGACAGAAAGTCAGTGTGCTCGCGTATATTGATTATAACTTTTTTATTTTTCATTTTTTTGAAAAATTTTCTTCACAAAACATTTAGCTGGATTTTTCCTCTATCGATTGGTGAAATTCATTCTTCGAAATCATTTGAGTAGAGCTATCTACAAGGTGTTCTATGAGGTCTTGGTGGAAAATGTCGAAAGAAGAAAATTTTGAAAAAAAATGGAAAAAGGAAAATGCAGAAAAGGAAAAGGCCGAAAAGGAGAACGTCGAAAATGTAAACAGCTAAAAAGGAAAACATCGAATAGAAATTTTGAAAAGGAAAACGTCGAAATAATTAATCTCTTCCTGTGATATATGACTAATTTATTAATTTAGAATGAAAAAGATAAGAGAATATTGACAAGATAAGAAGATTTTTTTTTTCTTTCCAATTAGCAATGATAAACCTGACAATAGTTCATTTGCGTTGATTTCCTTTTTAATGTATCTGCTACGCAGAGTATCAAATCTTATTTGAAAAACTTTTGTTTTTGTCGATTGTTTCGGTGCAGATGCACCAGCATCAAGTTGAATTGAAATATGTTCAAAACGAACATGTTCACTTTGAATTAATTGTATAAAGCTCCAAATATTAGGATGTTTTTTTGATAATCGAGTTGCAAATCGAAGATTATAAGCTAAAATATAAACAATGAAGGATAGAACTTTGAAATGAAAGAGATGAACAACAACAACATTCTCACCTTCTGAAGTATTATTTGTTCGATGGTTGGCATCATGAAAATTCCACATATGAATTGGAACAACACCATGCACCCATTGATTTTTAAAATACAATAATAAATCACCTAATGATGACGATGTAATAGATTGTACACGTTGAAATTGACGTTCAACTCCATCAATAGGCATAATACTTAATGCCATAAGTTGACGACATTGATCTCGAATGGTTTCATTATGTAAATAATCATTTGCCAAGCCTAACTCTGTAATTTTTCGATGAATGGCTTGATTAAAATGAAACATACATCCAGAATGGATAGCTACAGGGAACTAACAAAAATGGAACAATATATTAGACACGTAGAACGTTTATTATAAAGATAAAAACACTTACTTCTTGTTCCACAACAGGCATTAAACCGGGTTCATAATCTGTAATAATGCATTTTGGATTGAACTGTGTACCCATAAGACATGCTTGTTCTTTTAATCTTTCAAATAATTCGGTATATGTTTTTCCACGTTTATTTGGCAGAAGACAAAATGTAACTGGTAATCCTGCAATATAAGTGTGCAAGTATAAGCATTGAAGATATTATAAATGATTTCTCATCTACCTTGACCAAATTTATGAGCATGAATTAAGTAAACTTGTTTAAAATGAGCTGGTACTATATCAAATGTACCATCCATAAAAATTGTATCACTTTCAAATAAAATTTTTAACTGCTGGTCACTTGAAAAAACCAAAATTCGATCTTTACCACGTTTTAAAAACACATCTATGGGCAAGAATTGTTTGCCTGCAAGTGTTTGTTGGTATAATTCTGGAATATCGAACATGACAGATGATGGTATTACAGGTGTATTTTTTCGTCGTGCTTTACTCATATTGGATCCTTAACATTAAAATAAAATATTTTAGAATATTTTACTGATATGCTCTGTGATACGCACGATATTCCACAACAGTTGGAATAATTGCTGTTGCTGATTTTGAAAGATTCGCCTTCGCGATTTCTTCATCGTATATTTTTGTAATGGACGTTGTTTCAGCTAATATTCGTTCTTTCATTTTGTCTCGAAGAAGTTTAACTTCTATTTGGTCTGGATTTGCTGAATGATTATGATCACCACTAATAGATAAAAGTTCATCAGTAACACTTGTGTGGATGTATACACCACATCCTCGTTCACTACACATCCAATATTTTTTTGATACTGTTGTTTTGTTACACCTGAATAAGTAATTCTTATGTATGAGCAATCGTTTACCTTTGTTTGATGTGGCAAATGATATCTCAAGTTGTTGAGTTTTTAATGAACTATCTTCAGAATCTAAGTTTGAGATCATTTTGTATCTATTTAATGTTAAGAATTTTTCTTTATTCAATGGAGAACAAAATGTGCTGGCGAAAGAGTAACAGTTAGATAATGACGTACTTTTTTAATCAAGTGGAAATGAACGAACGAATGACTGGTTTATTGAAAATAAAAGAATTTATATCCAAAGAGAGAAAGGAAAAACAGACAATGGTCGTCTTTCTTGGAAGACGAATATAGAAAAAACAAAGAAAAAAGAAAAAGACATTAAGTTAACAGAAAAAAAGATGAGTCAATGTGTTGACGAAGGACGAAATAGACGAACAGATAGAACCGGAAAAGTAGATATGACATCACATAGCTATGTGTGTATAACGATTGAGGAATAATCATTGATTATGTAACAGTAACCAATGAGAATACAAACAATCTAATTTTGACCGTGACATGTTTAAATAAATTCGACGTTTTCCTTTTCTACATTTTTGCTTTTCGATGTTTTCCTTTCTATGTGTTTTTTGTTTCGACGTTTCCCTCTTCGACATTTTCCTTTTCTATTTTTTTTCGACATTTTTCCCTTTCGACATTTTCCTTTTCGACATTTTCCGCCAACCCCTTCTGTGAGCACTACCTTTCGATTTTACATTCACTCCATTTGGGTCGAATGTATAATATCACTGGCGCCGTTGGGGTGAATGTATAATCTCAGTTATTTTCTACAGAACTATTAAAATCTAATTTTCAAGCATTTAATATAATATTTTTTGAATTTTTTTTTATCAAGAGATAGATCGAAGTTTTTTCTATTACTCTAAACTAATCTTAAGATTCGTAGTCAAGACTGTGCTTTTTTATAGCTCTTGTAAAAAACGTTCCAAAAAAAATTTTGTATACATTCACCCCATACGGGGTGAATGTGTAATCGTCATTACGCTTGTGGGGTGAGTGTATAATCTCAGCAGATTTTGCTCTACACGCTAAAAATTAAGGGTGTGGGTGGCTGGAGGATGTGGGTGTGGTGTGAGTGTGGGTGTGGGTGTGTGGGTGTGGGTGTGGGTGTGAGTGGGTGTGGGTGTGGGTGTGAGTGGGTGTGGGTGGGTGGGTGTGGGGTGTGGGTGTGGATGTGGATGTTTACCTTCTCTTCACTTACACCCACACCGCCAACCCCACACCCTCACCCACACCCACAGCATCACCCACACCCACACCCACCCTCTATGATTTTAATACCTAATTGACTTGTGACAGAATTATATATTAGGCTTC